AGAGAAATTGCTTGTGGTCCATGGAGAATTGACTGGTCACATGGTACTGCCTCCTTCTCCCTATTTTCAACTGCTAAATTGCATTAAACTGCAGCTAAAAATATATTAAATACTTTCCTAATATTTTTTTTCTATGTAAAGATGCAACAACAGCTGCCACATGACCCACACATTTATGAATGGTAGGGCAGGTTGCCAATGAGAGAATCTTTGTATTGAAATGTTGTCCATGTTGTGAAAAAAATTGAGATCCCCTATGCCAGAGGAATATACTCCTGAAAGTGAGGACTGCCAAAGAAACTACATATCAAAAGTGTTCTAGCTAGCTACTTCTTCATTAGCGCTGAAGCTAACCTAAACTGGAAATATAATAAAATAGGGAAATTTGATTCTCTCTTTAAAAGTTCAAAATTATATGATGATCTTTGTCTGATTTCATAGGTTGGTATTAGATTAAAAAATGATCAAATGACTTTGTGATATCAGTGAATATTTGGAAAAATCAGGAGATGTTCATTTTTCATAGCATTGGTCCAATGCATGGCATACAATGCATTTCATAGTTTGTTCCATTCACTGCTATTCACTGTGTATAAAAGACTAGGGATACATAAAGGAGATGTTGAGACTAGATGAAGTTCTGGTAGAAGTCCTCCTCTTCTAGAGCCCCAAGTTTATTATACCACACCGTCTTCTCCTCTGTTGAGAAACAAAATAATTCAAAAAGTTGGTATTATGGTTGGCTTGTTATTCAGATACATGTCATTGTGATGATAATTACGTTATTGTGAAGTTCACAGGTTCTTTTTTTTCCAAGTCACCAGGGCCGACTCCAGCATTTCTGCCGCCCCAAGCAAAAAAAAAGAGCCGCGATTGGCGGCGTCAGTTCAGCGGCAGGTCCTTCGCTCCTAGAGGGAGTGAGGGACCTGCCGCCCCCAAATTGCCGCTGGTGCTGCCCCTCTCCTTTGGCCACCCCAAGCACCTGCTTGTCACTCAAAAATCTTTTACCCCTGTACCTACTTGAATCAATACTTAGCATCACTAGCCTGAGCTATGTTTTGATAGCCTTTTGTAAGATAGCTGTACCATCAGAAGTACCTTCTTTTAGTTGCTTTTATAAGCCATGCAAACTGGGTAGAATTTGCTTGTGAGTAGCCGCTGCTTGTATTGCCTGTACATCAGAGGGTGAGAATAAAATCAAACCTGTGTGAGACTCTGCTGTTATTTATTGTTAATAACACTGATAAGATCAATTTATTTTTATTCCCATCACATACACAGTCACAAATCCTTATTTTGTGGTTAAGACCTAGTGCAGTACAAGATCTTCTGACAGATATGAAATCAATTCATGTGAGTTAATATTACGCATATATATTAAAGGTGAAACTGGAAATGCCACCTAAAGTTAAGTTTGCCTGGCACTTCCCATTATAAGACCCTGTTTTCAGGTGCTTGTCAGCTTGTTAAATTTTTACTGTTTGGGAGAAAATTTTCCATAGTGGGTGTCTGCCTCAGGCTGATCAATTTCCAAGAATGAGATTAAGGAAAAATATGTTCTTTTGCTCATTAAAAACATTTTTACAGCCATTTCATCTAGCATCTCCATGCTTTGGAACAAGGGCTTGACGTTTGTCGTAGGGATTACTAATGTGTCAGGGATATACCTTTTGCTCTTTCTTTGAAAAAACACACAGATTTATTAACATTTGAAAAATCTATTTGCATATGGTCAGTAGAGATTTGTTACCGTTTGGCAGCTGAATTCTCAGATTACTCCATCTGCACTGAGCATGCTCTATCCCAGGACTGTCAGGGCTATCTAGGACTTTCCCTGAATTGCTTCTTTTCGCTTCTGCGGCTGCTTTGGCACTGGGTACCAGTACTGAGAGCAGGCAAAATGTCACTCTTGTGTTCTTATTGTCCCCCCCCTTTCCCCTCCCCCACTTCTGGCATCCTGGCAGTTTGGAGGAGTAAGCAACATGACTCAAATGCAGAGGGGCCAAGAACCTGATGTCGCAGGGAGGAGAGTCGCTTAGGACAAGGAACCTCGGGTGGGAAGGCTGGGACTGGAAATTGTGGGGGGGAGGAAGAACGAGTGGGACTGGCTGGGCAAGGAGACTGTGACTGAGATGAAGAGTGTGGGAGTTGGAGACTGGGACCGGCTAGGTGAGGAGACTGGGTCTAGGATGAGGGCAAAACTAAGACAAGGAGCTGTGAGGAAGGGGAAAAGATAGGACAGTGACAGGCTTGAGAGGGTGGGCAGAATGGGTCAGGTTTGGGTGGGACAGGAGCAGCAAGGTCTGTGACCTCAAGGGAACACTGCCCTCCAGAATCTGGAATGGAACCCTTGATTCCTGAGTCTCAACATTTTTTCTGTTAGCAAATATCTGTGAAACCCAACCACTAGCAAAGTATGTGTCTCATCCACCTCTAGTGGATGACAACTTACTGTTGCTATCAGTTTCTCTGTTAGCTTGAGTAGCAGAGGTCTGTGCGGTAGTTCTAAAGATTCCAGCCATGCAGGTGTCAATATGATTCCATGTAATGGAATTTCTGATTTTTTCAGTTTGCTTTTTTAAAACCTAGAAAATTGTATTAATCCCTCAGACCTCAAGATAAAAAAATACATTGAAGTTGCCAAGTCAAGCACTCAAAAGTTAGGAAATGTCAGATTTAAGGTTACTTGTGCATCTTTAATTCATTCCCCTTGTGCACATGTATTATGGTACGGTCTTTAATTACATACTTTTTTCAGGACCTCTTGCTTCTTTCGTTGCACAGGATGGACTGTATTTTAGGAACAAATTCGGGTTGTGTAGTGATGAAGGCTATTGTCTGTAGGATCCAAGCCTCATTTGTTGCCAAAGTAGGAGCTGTGTCATGAATGAGGCAAGGGAGACTTTGTACATACAAAGTGCTATAAAATGCTAAGTACTCTGAAAAATCAGGCTGTTTAGGAAGTACTCAGCTACTATAGTGCTGAAAAACCCATGAGCCAATGAATAACTCTAGAGCAGGGTTTCCTGCACAGGGCCACAGGTCAAGCAATAAGGATAAAACAAACTATTGAATAGCTTTTTGTTCACTGAGCATCATCCATCCTATGCAGTGCATGAGGGAAGGGTCCTGAGCTACAGATAATATATGATCATGACAATGAGGACTGTGTCATAAAACATATGCACGAGGGACTGAATTAAGGTTGCACAGGCAGCCTTAAATCTGACATCACCTGACTTCTAAATGCTGATTTTGCAAGCTTAATATTCTTGTCACATAGGACTTTAATGTGTACATATATATATATGTGTGTGTGTGTGTGTATGTATAAGTATATGTGCAGATGCACACGCACAAGTACATACACATTCAGTATATAAAATACAGCATATGAAAATGTTCTCTATTTAACAAAAACATTGTATATTTACCAGCATTATCCAACTCAACAATTTATCAGTAACTAAGGCTTGGTCTACACTCACCCCCCAAATCGAACTAAGGTACGCAACTTCAGCTACGTGAATAACGTAGCTGAAGTTCGAAGTACCTTAGTTCGATCTTACCTCGGTCCACACGCGGCAGGCAGGCTCCCCCGTCGACTCCGCGGTACTCTTCTCGTCTAGCTGGAGTACCGCAGTCGACGGCGAGCACTTCCGGGTTCGACTTATCGCATCCAGACAAGATGCGATAAGTCGAACCCAGAACTTCGATTGCCAGCCGTCGAACTAGCGGCTGGGTGTAGACATACCCTAAGACTATCTAAACATTTGATCCTATATTTTCCCCAAAATAATAAGGCTACAAATCATTAGCATTGCATGCACTTGCAATGTTAGCACCTTATGTCCATTCATGTATACATCTTATCTATTGCTACATTGGCATCTTTCCTAAAAGTCAGTGTCTGATATAAGCCTGCAAGCATCATAGTTTCTTTTAGTCCTTGTGTACTGTAAGTCTTGCATGTGTACTCTTATTACTCTTTAACTTACAAAGATTAAACTTGACCAAAACAAAAACAAAAAAAGTGAAACATTTGACAAGCTTTATTAAGTGTTTTGTCAAGTTAAGAGCTTAGTTATATTACACTTCAAAGTAAAAGAAGATGAAGAATAAGTATGGCTACCTGATACCTTATAATATTGCCTGAACCAAAAATACTCTGGTGCTAAACCTTTATGACAATACAGCAAATATTTTACACATAAGCAGAGATCAACACACACCATGTTAACTTACAATTTCCTCCATCAAACTGAGGTGCAGTCACTCTGTTAGGGTGGCTGGATTATTATTTTTTTCTTCCAGGGGCTGCATAGCAATGGTTTTTTTAAAATGTTATATTCATTTTATGTTTTCCTCAGCAATAGCGACTGGTTGTCATGTACCATTCCCCTTGAGTGTATGTGTGTATTTATTATATTATGTACAATAATATAATATATACAGATAGGGGTCCCATTATTTCTCATTTCAAAAGAAATTGGCACAAGGATGTTTAAAATGGTTTAATTTTACAAATGACTCTTTGTACTGGTATCAAGTGGTGGTTTCCTTGGGGGATCTCTTCCCTTTTCACCATATCATGAACTTTTTCATCAGCCTGAATAATAGCGCAAGAAAGCTAAACTGCTCCGCTTCACACGTGGTTTTTCTGAGATGCTTTTTTTGCTTTGTTTTGGTAAAAGATGCTAATTATTTGATGGCTAGAACATAAGAAAGTAGTGACTTAAGAGCTGAAATGGTGATATGATTTTAAGGGAAGATACATGGTTATTGCAAATTTAAGTTCTGTAATGATACCCATTGTTGATGTTTAAGCGTTGATCTGATTGGAAATGTCAAAGAAGAAAATGGCTTCAAATTTCCTTATAGCCTTTCCTGACTAGTGGGTCCCCTAGAATAAAACAAAAATAGAGCATTTTGGAGCACTCAATTAAAAGTGATATAAACTCATAGCTTTGTCTTTTGTTTGTTTGTGTTTCATTGAGCAGTATATTAATCAATCCTGGAAACCACGTCAAGATTCAAGAAGGTACTTTAGGATTCTTCATTGCAAGTGATGCCAAAGAAGTGAAAAGGTAATTTGTTTATTGCATCTTTTTAATTAAAAAAATGCAGTCTCTTCCTTGTTTTATTCTTTACATTTAGAGCTTCGCCCCCACTCCCATAGAAGTCAGCAGAAGGATTCATATTTCTTCAACGGGGGTTGAATTGGACCAAATGTACATGCTTCTCATGTTGGACTTTTTCCCATGGCGAAAAAACTTTAACTGAAATAAAATGAAATAATAATTTTGCAGCACCTATGAAAAAGAACCAAAGAGAGAAATATTAAGTTTGGGGGTGAGGAGGGGTTAACCTCAAAAAACCCACTTTGGATATGGGCCAGATTATCTACTGTTGTAACGTAATTGACCCTAGTGGAGTTATTTGAGCAGAGAACGGGGTCCCTAGTTTTGGCCTAAGGTTTAGGTGTTTAGAGAAATTCTTTTATATAGGGACAGTTTCAGCAACCTCAACAAATAATTGTTGTGGGCAAACTGAGCAGTATTCATTCAGCATTACATTGGCGGTATGACATCCCCTTGTTACTATTCTTTATCAGAACTATATACTGTGTAGGTACATAATAATGAATCAAACTAAAACAGAGCAGTACTTCCCATCCAATGTGGGCTACTTTACCTGTTTAGCAGTCTAAGAACTTGGCTGTATCAGTGAGATTAGGGTTTGGAGTATTCAAGCTACAGTTATACAAGAAAACTTTGGTCTCATGCCTAGCAGCCACCAAGGTGTGTCATTATTAGACCCCAGTGCACACCCAGTGTCTCGTGATTATGAAGTCTTTAGAAAGATAAAGTGATGTCAGAAAATAATTTCTAAGATAACGAAATAACTTTTTAAAACATTTTGAAGGTAAATAGATTTTTAAAAACTAAAAAAGTAATTTGTTGCCTGGTCGTCCCTCCCAAATGTGTTACTCCAAAATGAAAAAGAAGACACTCCAATGTGCAAGAAATAGAGTTGGCTGCAATTTTTATTTTTTAAATCATGCTGAACTTGAGTTCAAGAATCAGATTATTATCTCAGAACTGGCCACCTTCTCCCTCCATAACCATTCCATCTTATAGGCCATGAAGACTTTCTTCCAAGGTGCAGCTGTGCTCATCCAAACAGTGGGAAGCTGTCTCCCAGAACCATCCTCCCCCCTTCAGCCCTATTGGGTTAGTCAATCCACAAGGGCAGGTCCCATATCTGCATACAGTACAGAGGTCTAACCACCTCCTCCTCCTCTGCTCTTACCACAGATTCCTGGGTTCTTGCAGATATACCTTCTCTGATTCTGGCTCATAGATATCAGGCCTGCTTAGCACCTGCTCAACTACAGGGCCCCTTCCAGCCAGCTGCAACATGTCAGAATTATTATAAACATTCCAACCTCCAGCTGCCTGCAAACCCAATTCTGCCAAATGATACCTGTGGGTTCCATCAGTGTCAAATGGCGCAGAAGTGATGCACTCAGAGAGGTGAAAATCAGCCCTTGACTAAGCCTACTCTGCCAAAGAAGCTACATTCTTTTCCAACTCCAAAGCTAGCAGTCTCTGCAAGCCAGGGAATACTACCTACCCCTAGCAAAGTGACTCTACCTGCTCCTTCCCAAATAAACATTCCCCAACAGCCAAGCCAGCCACAGAGGGAGAAGGGGCACCTCTTCTGGTCTCCCTCCCCTTGTAGCTGGCCTCTAATGGAATGTCTCCTAATTTGCACAGGTGCCAGTGAATTAGGCCTTTGAGTCTCCTTCCCTATCTGTAAAATGAACAGAATAATACTGAGGTATCTCAAAGGGATAACATGCAGATTGCTTAATATTTGTTCAGTGCTATACTAGTGCTGCATATCCCAAGAGCTAAACTGTCTATTTAAGCCCCAGCCCTGCAAGAGGCACATGATTCCAACAGGTGCTCACAGTTTCCTCATCTCCCTTACACCAATTTTAGACTGAGGTAAGCATGTCGACATCAGTCTTGTTACCCCTCAAAAGGGCACTGCATGCATTCTCGCTGGTGTAACATGGTGGCCTGCCCTTGGGCTGGAGAGCCTGGGCTAAGCCAAGCCAAGCCTGATTACACCTGAGGGAAATCAAGCAATCCCAGGCTAAAAGACAGCAGGAAGCTTCAGTAGGAGGGGGCTGAGAGAATAACTGAGCCTGACATTAAGAGGAAGAAAGTTGTCTAGATAGGGTCCTGGGAGACACCATGCCCAAGAAGCAGGGCAGAGTCTGACAGACAGACCCTTTGGAAGCAAGGGGCTGTGCCAACCTGACATTGGGATAAAGACGAGTATGAGTTGTTCTGTTTTTCAAAGACTTAGTGTTATTTTGGCCTGCTGGGTGAGCGATGGACTGGGGCTGCAGCCTGTGTGTTCCCAGAAGTCTAAATAAGTAAGACCCCTTTTGGGGATTGTTTGAACTTTTTGAACTGGAGGAGTTCTTAAAGGGTCCTGAAGAGGTGGAAACACAGGCAGGGTGCTGACGAGCAATCTCTGGCCCAAAGGGAGACACAGGAGGCAGCTGCCCCTACTACAGCTGGGCCCTGCCCTTTCCCATCTCCAGCACCGCCTTTATGAAAGCTATTACAGTGAGCACTAGCCTCTCAAGCAACCTTTGAGCCCAGCAGGCAGTTCTTGTTCTCTCTCTTGCCTCTTTCCTTTTCCATGTGCACAAGGCTATTCACATGGTAGCACCAAGACACTAACCTGTGTATTTACAAAGTGTTTTAGCCATGCAGTTCCCCATTAAAGTTAATGGAGACCGCACCGGGAGAAACCTGGCATGGCCTTTTTGAAATGATAGAAGTTGAATAGTGAAGATATACTTAGAGTAAATTTACTCAGCACTTGTATATCAATTTCCATCCATGACAACAGCAAGTTGAAGCAGAAGCTCTGACTTGCCTTTTCCAGAAACCTTTGGCCAGAATTATGCAAGGTTGCTGCCTCTCTTCCCATATTCCCTAACCATTCTGTACAAAGCAGATCTTTATCAGATGTGCTTCAGCTAACGTAGCCATTTATGAAAATTGCCAATTTCACCTTTGTAACTTGATGAATCAGAGTCAGAAAAAATCTTCCAAAATTGAGAGAAACTGAATCCCTCTCCATGAATTCTCTGCCTTTGTTTTCAAACAAGTGATGGATGCTTTAATGGGATCTGAATGGCAATAAAAAAGATTCTAGGAGAGTAAAAAACAGGATTTTTACCTAAGTACAATAAAACAAAAGCAAACATATGTTATATACTTGTAGCTCAAATTAAATGTTTTTGTTTATGTGTTATGTGCTTTAAGAGATGCTGGCAAGTCTTTTAGGTTAGAACTATACCATATTGCAATGCATATTTAACACTGTTTATGCACCATAATTTGTAGTAGAGTAATTTTGTATATTGCTAAAACAATGATTTTTTAATGTTTTTTTAAATAATAGGTACATATTACACACCTTTATGTTAAGGATTTATTGAAGAGAATAGCTGTATATAAAAGGGTGAATGCTAATAATGTGTCATAGGTACAATATGAGTGGTGTCTTTTTATCATTCTTTATCCACTTACATTTTATTATGCATTATGGAAATCTATTTGTTTTAATTCTTTTATCAATATGGTAATTTCATTTTTAAAAGCATCTGAGTCACTTATTCTTGGTCTTGCACCTAGGGTATGCCTGCACTGCAATCTGCAGTGTGATTGGAGCATGGGTAGACATACCTAAGATAGCTTTCCTCATGCTAGCACAGCTAAAAATAGCAGAATAGGTGCCGCGGGCTTCAGTGCAGCCTAGCAACATGGGTCCCTGGCATGCTTATACAGCCCCTGCTGAGGCTCATGCCTCTGTATCGATGTTGCTGTTTTTAGCCATCTAGTGCAGGTATGTCTATCCAAACATCAATCCCACCTCAGATTGCAGTGTAAACATGCCCAGAGAGTATCATGAGCATGTCTAGTTCAGCAATGGGATCTGGCAGCATGGACCCCACACCTGTGCAGCATCTGTCTAAACTCGTAGGGATTTGGGGAAGGGTCTGTGCTAAAGGATCCTGCTTCAGAAGTGGGATCTAGAGCTGGATTAAATGTCTAAAGGGGGAACTGCAAAAACTGGAGAGGAAATGTTGTCCAACAGAAATAGTAATAAAATCCCATAGTCAAGAGAGAGGTGCCTCCCTGGAGTCCACATGGTCCATAGAAGAGTAGAGACTGCCACTCCTGAGTCCCAATCCTATCTCTGACAGTGACTGGCTTGAATATATTATTTAGCTAGTCCCCATAGCAGGTTTAGAACTCAAGACGGCTAGTGCCATGCTGACTCCACTAAACCCTGCTGCTTTCCTGGCAGGTCACTTAAACTTCCTGGACCAAATTCAGACGTTTGAATTAAATTAGTTTCAATTGTTTTGTGTAGATTAAATTCACAATTGTTTGAATTAGACCCTCTTATACTAGCTTGAATCCATGTACCTTCCCATTAAACTAATCACACCAGCTGTACAGGTAGGTAAAGGAGTCTACAGACATATCTACACTACAAGTTAAGTGGGGAGCCGGGAGCCCAGATGGCAGCCTGGCCCAGAGCAGGGAGCCAGGAGCACGGGCAGCAGCCTGGCTCAGAGCCGGGAGCCCGGGCAACAGCCCATCTCAGAGCCAGAAGTGGGAACACTAACTCTGCAGTGTAGACCAAGCCTACATGGATATCAAACAGCAAGAAGAATGTATAAGTTTAAGTAGAGAGGGGACTACTTGTAGCTCTGATATAACTGCAAAATATTTTTGTGATTAAAATGTAAAAGCCCACTGAACCTTTACTCAATACTCAAAATGAAGAAAAAAGTTTCATTTCTCTTTCATTCTATTTTTACCCCAGCTTTGTCTGTGCTTGGGGTTCCAATCTAAAGTATTTAAATGTTCTCAATAGACTTCTAGCCAGGCCATTAGCAGGAAGTAGCAGATGTGGCTTTCTGGCAAGGCTTCCAGCCCAGTTTTGTAGAGACAAGAGGTTTGGATGGTCTACAGAGAAGTAACCAAATATTGAGGCTGATATCTGAACCACATCTTTAGATATTGTCAGGTTCCCCATTCCTAATTAAAAACACCAGCCATAGGTCAAACCTGGAAAATATCCATTGACTCCACGTAGCCTGAGAGCTTGGACATATGTGACAGACTGGCTCTTTGACTTTGGACAAGTCCCTTGATTTCTCTAGGCTCCAATTCCCCCTTTTGTACAGAGAGGATCATAACACCCACCTTTAGATAATGCCCTGCGATGGAGCACAGGAAAACATCTAGAAATAACTCTGCGGGCCTTGTCACCCCTGCACATAGTCCTAGTCACTCCCTCTTTACTTGTGCTTCTGGGATCTGGAAGATGGATTATGTTTTTCCTTACATCAGGAAAGTACCATGCTCCCTGTGCCCTCACCCTTTCTATAACATCCCCGCACAGTGTGAAACATTCATAAACCCTTGATATTTTTGTCTAAATGAATTAACAGCCCTTTCATTTACACTGGAACCAAGACTATATTCATCCATGTCCCTGTGTATTTGTTGCTTATTTTTCTTTCCAGTACCCAAGGACTGTAGATTCTTCTGTTCCCATGGCCTCTCCTATTTCTGGAACCTTCAGGCCACCTCAAGTGCACGAGCAGTATTACCTGCAAGACGTGTGGTGTGACCTCAAGTCACCCCTCATTTCCATCTGCCTGAATTTGTAGAGAGGAGTCTGGGTCAGAGGAGGCAGGCAATGGGGGAAATTTGGCAGATGCTGAAGTGTGGTATGGCCCAGTTGTCATGCCAGCAAAAATATGTGTATATTATAGCAGCCCAGATTGGCTCAGTTAGAGGCTAGCAGTGTGATCTTCATGAAATATACATGTGTCACAGCACTAGTGTGTGACATACTGATTTGACAGGCTTGTGAAATCTCCTGTGGGCAGTTTGATGTATGTTTATTAAAACATAATTTTATTTTAATGATATGTAAAGTGTTATTGCACACTTACCCTTCCTCACTTACCCTACATTCTGCATACTTCACCTAGCAATCTGCTCTTTGATACACAGTAACAGGCAATTTGTAAAAGCCTAAATAGACAGAGAGTTAGGTAGGTCATCTTGTGTATTACATAGTTTTGTTTGCTTAGGGATTTTTGCTAAGGGTTAATAATGCAGTCAAAACTAGTGTGATTCTTCTCTAATTGAACCCTGATGGCAAACGAAAAGAAGTCTGAACCAAGAGGACAGTAGTCCCCATGTTTGTTCACTGCTTTTTAAGAACCTGATTTTCAGACACTGGCTTCCATTTTTACAGGTGGAAATAATAGCATGCATGATATTATTGACCACAATTTAGGTCACAATGACATTGAAATCACCATTATGGAGGTCCGGTGGAGGCTAGACTGCAAACTTGGCCTTAAAACCTTAGCTGGCTCTGAATTCGTGACTTTCAGGTCAAGAACAGTGAACTCATTTCATATGTGCCTTGACGATGAGACTCATTGGATGCTGGCTTTCAAAGATGAAAGGCAAATGATCTGATCCACTGTGTCATATTTATCAACCCTTCTCCTAATTATTTTTCAAATGAAAGTTTATTAAAAGAAGCACTAACTTGAATCATAGTCTTGTGTTTGAAATTAATGGTCTTGCAGCAAATATTTCCTCCTTTAAATGTCTAAACCTTTCCAAAGATTAAAGGAAATTAGTGCTGGCATGTTTCATTAATTTGGCAATGTAGCAGGAGGAAATGTGGGACTAATTTCATTTGTGTGGATTAAGAAATGTGTCAGTTTTTCCGTTCTGTCTCTCCAGGGCATATTTTTACTGCAAGGCCTGTCATGATGACATCACAGATCCCAAAAGGATAAAAAAATGTGGCTGCAAACGGCGTAAGTAATATTTCTTCTCCCTCCCTTTTCCTCCCCCTCCCCCTTCAGGAACTGCTCAGCCTTAAGGAATCTCTTTAAATGCATTTATGTGTTTTACACAGTGGTGCAGAAAGGGTAGGAAATAAATACATGGCAATGCAGTTAAATGTCATTTGTAATTCTAATGTGAATATTTTTAAAATTAAATTTCACACCACTCACTCACACCTGCAGCTTCATTAAAATGCCTGTTTGTGTCCAAAGTTAACAAACTTCAGATAATTAAATCAAGATGAATCTGTGCCCACGGCATTTATTTGTGGGCAGTGGAACGTTCTGAGTCTGAGTAGATGAACAATCTTATCCACATGGGGCCAAATTCTGCCCTGACTTGCACCCTGTAAAAACCCATTACTTGCAATGGGCTTCCGTGAGGCATAAGGGCAGAATTTGGGCCTTGTATAATATAATGTAACATGTAAAGTAAGCTAAGAAACAACACTGAGCTACATACCAATGCTGAAATAAAATATTATGATGAGTCCCATAGGCTCCATCCTGCTGTCATTCTGCAGAGGAAGTCCAAAAGTCGATGGGAGTTCTGTGCGCAGAAGAAATGCTGGACTGGTCCCTTAAATAGGACAAAATTCTGCTTTCAGAGGTGTTCAGCAGACTTCAGTGTTTATCACCTGCTTTACCCAGGTTAATAGAACAGTGGTTGAAGTCAGCAGGAGATTTGTGAATGCAGAGAGAGCAGAACATTGGAGTGGAGACCTGGTTTTGTTTTTTCTTTATATTTATGCAGGAATATATCTGGCTCTTTAATTTTGGTGGACTTTCTGCAGTCAGGTTACCCAAACCAAATACTCACACAGTAGATTTGAAGTATAGATTTCAAATGTAGGCATGGGGATTCCTTCTCTTAATGGATATTTGAATATCATGTGTACACTTACATGGTTTAGATGATATTCTGCCATTAAAAACCACATGACCCTGTTTAGAGTCACAAGAAAAGTGGGTTGGACTGTCTCAGCAGAGTCTGCCCATGCTTCTGCTCCTGCTCCTTTTATGATTCCCAAAACACTGTGGCCTACTGATTGCTGTTGTCTCACTACAGTCTTGGCATTTGGAAGAAAGGGCTAGACTTGGACCTTCACACACACTAGGAAAAGGGTACTTCTACTCAAACCATACCAGAAAATGAAATTCTCTGTAGAGAAAAACAATACTATTAGAGTCCGTAAGGACAGCCTTCCTCTTCTCTCCCAAAAAAAGACACGATCAAGGAGAACAAGGTTTCTACATTGTTTCCTTAAGGTAGCATAATAGAGACAGAGGAGCTGAGACTTTAATGGAGAATGGTAGCCACAATAGTCACAGTGAATGCAAAGTTCGTGGAAATCAAAGATATGCATGCCTGTGTGGAAGGAACGCATGCATTTGCCTAACATATTGAAAAAAATTGTTCAAGAACAGCTTCTCCATGTGAGAATGTTACTCTGGAACTGCTGCCAAGGTCAGTGAGACTGATGAGTAAGTTCTGGTCAGGCAAGTGAAAACTACCCGCGGGTTCCTGCAACTCAAAGCTAATTTTCCCCCAGGATTTCCCAAAACACTAGGGAAGGGGAAACATATAACCAACATAGGGGAGCTGTTGTTGCCTCCCTACCCTTTATGTATTTTTATTTTCCCCCACCCCACCTTTCATACCTGTAATACTATGCTGTGCTCATGTGTACAGGCTTCTATCAAATTCTCCAAGAGACTTGGTATTGTTTGGATTCAAGACCTACATAGATGGGCCACATTTAACTCAAATATATTGCAACATATGAACAAGCAACTACAATGTAAAGGGCAGAAGCATGAAACGGAATAAAATGTTCAATTTTGGGAAGCCCGGGAGAAGAAAACTCCTTGGAAAGAGACCAACCAACGCAGTATAAAACAGCAGTAAGCCCCTGTCAGGGCTAGAATGACAGCCTCTGCATGTAGCACTAGGAAATGCTCCAAACGACATAGTCACACACATCAGTCTAATGCATTAAAGGGTGTTGGACAGATGTGGAATGAAATGATGGAGTTAGTGAGGCTGAAGAAGGAGCCTGTCAGAGCCACCACACTGAGCACTGAACACCAAGGGGGTAATCTTCTGAGTCAGGTGGAGGGAAAAAAGGCAATGATGGCAAAGTCTAATATGTACTCAGAATATTTTCTAGGTTTGGTCTCTCTCTCTCTCTCTCTCTCTCACACACACACACACACACACACACACACTTGTCAGAACAGCTGATAACAGCTTAAGCAGCTGCATGTTCATAACTATTAACAATAATTCAATACCTTTGTTTTTAAAGTCCTGTCAATCAGTGAATGATATAAGCCAAGATTTTCAAAGGTATTGGGTGATTTTTGGTCAATCGATTTTTGGATGCCCAAATTTGAGACACCTTTAAAAGGTCTGATTTTTAGAGGGCAGATGCTCAGTAGTATCTGCAAATCAGGTCCCTTGAAGGTGTCAAACTTTGGCCCTCAAAATCACTAGTCACTTTTGAATATCTTAGCCATCATCTCCACATATACGGTGCCCGAATTGTTTGTCTTAAAAACACAATCTAACTAAAACAAAACAGAAATTACAACAAAACATCATTACCTTCTAAATTGTGGGGCTTGGCTGTCAACTTAATTTACAATGAGATTGTGAACAGTTCAGATATATTTTTTTTAATTAATGAGCAACAGAATCAAAATTAGAGACAGTGGATTTCAGGTGACATGTAAAATGAAATGAAGGGATGAAGATAAAACTATCAGCATGTACAGGTGAATGAAATGTGAAAGAATGTCTTCTTTACATGGAAATCTTAATTATTATGGCATTAATTACATGCAGCTTCCTGGGACAGTTGAAAGCCATGTTCTTTAATAATGCATCTGAGGTTTCATGTCCCTTTAGATATTGTCTGAATATTAACTGTGGTATTGTCAGGGTCTATAAGTGAGCCTGACCTACATAGCCATTTGTCCAAACCTGTTAGGCCTAGTATTAATAATTCAAGTAAGAACTGTGCATCTCCACGAGGCTAGGGATAATTAAAGTAACTATGCTTTCCTTTCACAGTTTTCAGCCATCCGTCCTTCTCCCTCCTCTCCTTACTGCCTGAATAATCTGTAAATGTTCACATTACATTGTCCAGAGAGAGATATAGAAATTCTATTCACAAACCATTGATAATTTTGTGGTATATTTAGCTTATGTTTTCAATTTCTTTCTTATTTAATTTCATTGTATCTTTTCAGCAAAGGGCCAAATGTATATACGTATATATTAAATGCAGCCATGCTGGGATGAAATCTCTAACCTGGATGATTCACACTTTCTGTTTCTTTCATTCTGTATAACAACTCTTGTCTAATTCTCTATACATTTTTTCCAGCCACTTGCTTGCGGCAAAGGGTGGGGGTTGAACCCCGGAGGGACAGATCGTGTGTACTTTGATGTTTTTAAAGGAATGTGTTGTAACCTGTGAAAATTGACAAATTTTTGATTTATTTTTCCTCTTGCTGCCTTGGAACACGGTCCCTACTATATTTTAACTGCACACTGATAGTGATCTATTGTGAGTAAAAACGGGTTCCCTGTAGCCCAGAGTGCGGTCCAACCTGTCTTTCTCTAGCAGAGACTTTTTTTTTTGTTTTGTTTAGTAGTTTGGTTCTTTTCTTTAATATTTATGTTGCATGTAGCAGTGACGTCATACCCCCACCTTTCTCATCCTTTACACTCACACGGATCAGGGCGACGTTGAAGAAAATACAGCAGTTTCCTCCACCTCTCTCTTTCCTCCCCAATCTTATTTTTATCTCCAATGGAAAATGAAGCCTTGACAATGGCATTTCCTTTAAATGACTTTGGACTTCTCATTACTTTTTAGGGATGCCAGTTAGGCTGGAGTAATTACCACTATAGCACTGTTTGCCTGGTTAAGTGGAATTCATTGTTGGGCTTTTATTCAAGGTCTTGGGCTTGTATTCTCTGCTGCTCAGCTTCATTTCATGACAGAAAGGGCATACAGCAATTCCCCACTGTCCCTTCCCTCCACCCCCAGCACCAAAAAAAATAAGCCAGGCAATGAATTAATTGTGTGATCAACTTCTGATGCATAAACCTAAACCTATCCTTAACTGGAGACAAGTGACTCTACAGTGGTAATTATTTTCCCCCAGTCTATGAAATTTCCATTGCTGTAAAATTAATGATACATGTGTATGGCCCAATTATGCTTTCAGTAGCATAACTCTGAAGCTTATTACAGACCCAGTATGAACTTTATAGACCACTCCGTCTGAATCTGAGCCACAGCATTGTTAATTCTACAGTATCTATGGAGGCCCTCAGTCATCGACCATTTCTTAGTGCACACATGGTCCTGGTAGTTAAAATAAATACAGCATTTGGGAGGTGGAGAACAGTTTACATTTGCACTCATTCGATGTACAGGCACTCCAAAGAAAATACATTGGGGAGGGGTGGGGTACTGCTACCATACTTACAGGATTATTCAGAGCTTCTCAGTATGACTAAACTGTTCCCCAAGAGTTTCAGGGACCAGGATTAGATAGCTCAAGGGTATAATGAGCCACAGTGGTACCACTGGGAGCCCACTAACCACTCATTTTAACCGTGGCTACTCCAAACCTGTGAGGTTACCATTTTTTTTACCATTCCCCCAAATGTTACTCTTGTTAATTTGTTTTAAGATAGCAAAAGCTTCTGGCGTTCTTGTGCTAAGTGCTACACAGTCACATAGGAACACAAGGACCTAAAGAATCCAGGAAAGGCAGTACTTCTGGGAATAACGTCACAGTGTTAGCCAATCAGCATATCCAAATGCTGTAATACCATTTATTGTTGGGAGGTACATTGAGGGAATGGGAATCTACCACTCCACATAAGGTGCTGAACAACACAGTTGAAAGCATTAACTAGCTTAGGAGCCAAGTTCACCAACCTGCCT